AAGTCAGCCACAAAAGGTATAGAAAGAGGAAGAGAAAAAAAGTGACTAGAATAAATATACCATCTCCCAGGAAAAAAAATAAACCAGAAAACAGTTGTCAGTTGTCCATGTGCATTTGTTTCATCTTATTTCCAGCAGACTGTAATAACAATGAAGCACTCTCAGGAGACTATCTGGAGAGACTGAACTGGATAATCTACAACCTGAGAGGACTTGGTGGGAGAGAAACTTTGGAGTACTTCCTTCAGTCTTACTTCAGATCAAATATAAGCTCTCTCTGCATGAGGCCTGCAGGCCAACCCCACAGAAAATAATACCCTAGACTGAATGTCTAGGAAAAGAAGTCAAAGTGTCCACTGAGAAACACAGGAGACCTCACAGCAATATATTACCCCAGTCCATCAAATGTCCTAATCTTCTTGCCAGCATGTGACGGGGTCCAATAACACTGGGCTGGATGCATGCATGGTATGTTAACAACCAGGGCTCCCATAACTTCTGTGAACAGTGCAGCCCAAAGACAGATCATTACAATGAATCCAATAACTAGCAGTGAAACTGCTCGAGATCTAGGCCTATCATCATCAGGCAAGTAAAAAGCTAGACTCCTACAAACGTGTACTGCTGCCTGTATTTGGAGTAAGAGAAGTGTGAGAGGAGACAGAAAATGGATGTGGTCCAACAGAGGCAGCATCAGTCTGCATTGATGCTGGGCTGAACTTCTGCAGATCAGTTCCCGCTGGACAGATCCCTCAGAAGAAGGAGCAGTGGAGGAAATTACAGCCAGCCTGTGTCTCTTGAGCCGACTCTCTCACTTTTAAAGAGCTGTGGATACCCTCCAGTGAAATCTGTAGAGCCTTATTTTGGATTTCATCTGAATTCCATCAAAATTTATAGAATGTAGTTCAAGCCTACAGTTTCCACTGGGGCTTTGACGAGGAAACTCGAAATCTCATATTGAAAATGTTTCAGACAGCATGTGGCTCTTGGGAAATTTCAGCAACAGAACGTGGGAAATGAAAATGGATGAAAAGATGCAATGAGAAGATGCAATGAGAGCAAGGTCATTTGCAGTGGACTGAGACCTGCTTGCATTAATTAGAATAGGTCTATCTGCCCAACAGTATGTCAGCATGCCAGAATAGATGACCTTGGGGAGTCTGATCCATTTATTTTACTGGCACCCAAACATACACCATCTTCTCCATTATGCCAGTTCTGAATCATGGTACTAACTTTATATCCTTTGGGTCTGGCCCAGATTCTGTTCTCAGTTACACTGGCAAAAATTTGCAATAATTCTGTTGGAGCCAGGAAGATTACTGTGGATTAATGCCAAAGACAGCAAACTGTGGCTCATGATCTTTGACAAAGAAAACATATACATAATGTCAAACCTACACTGCTTCTCTTTTTCGATTGAGGGCATCATTCTAGATCTTTGTGACACCTTGAAAAATACCCATTAAGGGAGCTAAGAGCCACCCTTTCTTGCAATTATCTTCCCACTCAAGAGCTTTCCCAATATAGACCTTCAAGGACTAACTGCATTAGTTTGATTGAACAGTATCTAGGGCCTAATTTTCAGAAGCTCTTAAGCACCTGTATTAACAGCTGAAGACAATGGGAGTTACAGATGATTAGCAAAAATTAGTAAAAGCATTTAACAGAATTGCTCTTTCACAGTTCTCTAGACCTAGATCCACAAACATTTCTCCCCTGCTGTCTTTTGGCAGTCACAAATAAAAAAAATAAAAGCTGTAACTTGCATGCAACCCCCCTCCAATCACTCAATAGCTGTGCTTTATTAGTACAACTCCATTGACTGTCATGCATGGGGAATTCTAAGGGTGAAGTCCTACGCTGGCATCTACAATGCAGATCTCATCATCTCTCTGCGTAAACTTCACCCTCTGTAGATTTCTGCTGAGTATTTTGCTCTTGCTCTCCACACCAAATCCCCCTTGGCACAGACAAAAGGCCTAAGCAGAGACAAAAGGAATTCTTACAAGACAGCGGGGCAAGAGATCTGAGAAGAACATTTTGCCTAAAATTTCCCGCATCACAGCTACATAATTTTTACCTGATTTATGGTTTTGAATTTCAGCTAGACCACAGGATACAGATGCAGTATAACTCACATCCCTACACACATTTTCCTCTAACATGTTAAAAAGTATATTCTCGAAGGGCACACGTCCTTTCAAAGAAACTGCTTAAGAGGTCCCGGGTACCCTGGGAAGGAATGGAGGATGAACATGTATCAGAGGTCTGTGTTCACTGGTATTTGGATCTCTCCGGAGTTTGCGTCTGTTCTTTTTGAATGAAATCATCTGCTGCTGAAAGGCTTAATAACACTCCTGAACAAAGTTTTCTACCTGGATAGACCTATTAACTTTTCTTCTGAGAAAATGGAGAAGAAAAAACAAACCAACCAACGCAGCCTTGCAAAAGAGAAAGGAGCATACTTGCAAACACATCCATGTCCGCCCTGCAAAGCTCCTACCTCCGGAGGATATTTGAGCTAATGTGTTGCTCTTGCTCGGCCGGAGCACACAGAGGCGTGCAGAGGTGGAGGGAAACCCAAGACCCAGCTCTTCGCTCACCGTTGGCTCTGAAAGTTGTCTTTCTTTCCTTTAGTCCCTACCATTTGCCAAAGGATAGGTGTTCAACAAATGAATCATCAAGCCAAGACTCCAGAGTCACCTAAGCCTACTTCTACTGCACCCCGCTGCAGGACCTGGCCTGAGTTGAGTGATTTAATTTTGGACCCAGCAGACTGGTTTCCCTACTGTGCTGGGATCCTTTGGCAGGCTAGAGGTGCAAAGAGACTATCAGAGCAGGCCAGGTGAGAATTCCTTTGCTTCAGATGGGATTTATCTAATTTTAGCTGTTTAAAAGCTAGTCATCTATTTAAGCAAATCATTCACACCTCTTCTGCAGATGAAGAGAGGCAGGCAGGGGGTTATTCTTCCCACCCTAACACAGGTGTGATGAACTACTTTCTCAAAGAAAGCAGTTTTGCTTGCCAAAAGTGTCCATCGCTCTCCACTTTCTACAGAGAGGCCGGGACAACCATCTCAGCCTGCAGATGATACTTCTAGACGGCATCTAGAATGATCTGTCTGATCTTCTAGACAGCCACCATGTATCTACTCCCCTCTAATCCAGGCTCTGGTGAATGTGTCAGGACCTGAAGGATTAATGCTGGAAGTGTGCCTTCACCCAGGGTCAGGCCCCTGAGCCTGCTCCGAGGTATGTGTGCGTGTTGGGGGTTTTTGACCATGGGTGGGGCAGCTTTCCTGAAAACGAGGAACCTACCAGGCAGCTCCTGTGCCCAGCTAGGTCAATGCCATCTCTCAGCCTTGTCTGGTGGGGTTTGTTTCTCTTAGATCTGCTATTAAGTATGAAATGTGCCTCTCCAATAATCCAACACAGGAAATAAAGAAACTTTTGAGCTTTAAATAAAGAAAACATAAAGATGCCTAGGCTTTCCTCAGCATGCTAAGTTCATTCCTTCCATGGCTGCATTCCCTAATGAGATGATCAGTGACCTGATGAATGTTAGGTCACCAGTTTCTGGTACAAAATGCTGTGCACTTTTTTTTTTTTTTAAAGTGTGCTTTTTCCAGCTACCTTTTGTCTACAGTGAAGCAACTGCGCTAAAAATATATCCAGCCAGGTTCTCCAAGGGCGTAAACAGACATCATTCCATTGAAGTCAGACTAGAAATACCAATATATGCCAGCTAGGGAATGGGTCTGTCATTAGGAAAACAACTTCACTATATAGACGCACACATACATACACATTTATATAGAGAAATTATAATTACATTTTAATGTGTATTTATATATGAAACATATATAAAACCACAAAGGTAGGTTATACGTCAAAGATATACTCGATCCTGAATGGTTCTTTATCATTTATATATAATTAATTTTATATATATATAATTTATATATATATATATATATGAATATATACAAAAAATATATGAAAACAAATATAAAAAACCCACAAAAGTGGGAGCATATTTCTCTAACACTTTTAGCCCTGAATGGATCTTTATTTTAATATAATAACCTTGTCCTGCTCTCCCTTTAAAATGACATCTTTGTAAAGGTACAGAGTTATTTCTGTACTATCTGTACAGAGGATAAGTTATTTAGGAAGTGAGCATCAGAAATTATCCTGCAAAGTCAGCTCTGTGTATTTTAACCCTTTGAATCACGTCAGTTCTGAGTGTGTATATTTATATATTCCAAGTGTTTCTGTTCACTGTATCATCAACTATGACCGCAGGCCTGCATAAAAATGCCAAGCAATTTTTAGCACAAGCTCAGCATGGCTAGGTGCCATGCTCTTCATATGGCATGAAACCCTTCTAATAGTCTTCACTGTTCTACCTCCTCCCTCTCCCTCCAGAAATCCTGTGATGAATGTAAACCTTGAAGTCTTTCCGTTGACCATAATGAAAGGGTAGTTTAACAGCAAAAATGTGTGGGGACATTGTTATTCAAGCTCCCGTAGAGGTTGGGGGACTGGCATAGAGGGGAAAACAGCTATTTCAAGTGGTAGCGCTCTCAAAAATAAATAAATAAATATTGACGTGTTATGCCAGGATCTATGCAGTCGTTGGAACGGCTCGGCAGGCAGGGAACACAGGGCACATTCAGAAGACCACAGAGATGATTTAGAATGAGAAGGGTAAGTGTTATATGTATATCTCTATTTATTGGCTGTTCTGAGCATGAGCCTGAAAACTTTTGTACATAGGAGTACATTTGCCCGTTTCAGTAAGGTTATGGATATAAGCGTTTGCAGGATTACAGGCATTATTTGTTGCCTGCCAGTGCAATTTGCATGGCTATGGACAGCCGTATTCAGGTTCACCAAATAAGGCAACTAAAAGACTTCTGCATCTACCCTGACATCTGAGTTCAAGATTGCAATGACCGCCTACAGCACAGAACTAGCAATTCTGGCTCTTTGGACAGTCAGTGGAGAGAGGCCTTAAAACAGAAGGTCAAAATACAGGCCTCTAAGTTTTCCACTGAAAGCAAGCTCCGCTGGCCTCTGGGAATATGGGATCTGAGTCACTTGCACCCTGCTGAGTGGAAAATGCTATATTGTGCATCTATATCTGTCTGGAGTATAATCACGGGTATGGCACTGTCCCTGCAAAACGTTTGCACCGGGAAGTAACCTGACGCAAGGATGTAGTTCCAAGTTAAGTGAAAGGCATGAAGTTAATTACTGGCAAGACCTGACATTTAAAAAAGGTTTTAAACAGGATTTAGGCTTAAGTTTCAGCTTAAATGCTTAAATGCAAAACTAAGATCCAAAAAGTCCTCTTCAACCTCCTGGCCCTGGAGACCCCAACGTTTTCTAATACCTTCCTTTGTTGGCCTGAAACCACTCTTTGCACATCCAGAACTGACTACTAGGCAGGCACTCCTCTCCTGCTAAAGACCCTCCAAGAGCCAGAAACCAACACAATATAGCACCAAGGTCTCCAGAGGGATCTGGAGCATCCTTAACAAACCTGCTCTCAGAACAAGACCTTTTACCAATATGACCCTAACTGCTTTGTCTTTAAAGCACTGTCACCTGGGGAAAAAGTACCCAGCCGCTCTTCTGTAACAGCCCAGTGACAGGCACTTACCAGAGCTAGTCCAAGTCTCTTGTCACTTTAAAGAGGTTTAAGCCCACATGAAACAGCAGAGAGCTCTGGTCAGCATGAAGCTAGGGGTTGTTTTGGATGAGGACACATGAGAAAGAAATACAAGGTTCCCAAGGCCAAAAGGACAACCCACAAGTAAGATTCTGCCTCTGTATCCCAGCAGCTAAGGCATTCACCTTAGGGAAGAAAGTTCTGGATTTTGGCCCCACATCCTGATGATATTTCAACAGTTTACCATAAAATGCACAAGCAGATGCCAGAGATGGGGGCCCCACTAAGTTTTTGCTTAGCTCAAGCCACAAGTGGCATATAAAGCAAAACTCAGGTGGTTCTAGTGGCCCCAAATGGGTTCCCACGATGGGGGCATGTGTTACCTCTGCATCCTGGACATCCTGTGGAGCTCCATGTCATCACTGCCGCGGAAACCTTTCGCAAAGGGGTTGTTCTCAATCTTTAACTGGGTGATCTGAAAGGGAGGAAATGGAACGGGTTCATCATAAGTCCAAGGCAAGGCCTCAGAGAGAGGGAATACTGCTTATTAAACCCAAGCCAACAGTTGTGGATGGGGGAACAGCTTTCAGAAACTCAAGTCATTCTTCAGCTCAGCTGTTGGCCATTCCAGCTGGGCCTTCCTCTAGGTCTCCTCACTGGAAAAATATCTCCTGTCGACAACTTTTCACTACTCTCAGGTTTGTCCCATAACTAACATGAGTGACTGTTTAAAAACCAAAAAAAAATTGCTCATTGGAGGAAAGCTGCTTTCGTAGAGTTACTTGCTTTCTTTTTTGCTCTTATGACTGACCTCAGGATCACCGATGAAGGTGGCATTGTTTGAACAAATTCCGGTGACACCAGTAGGTATTTTCTCATCAGTGCACAACTGTGACCCAAGCCTTGCAGCTCAGACTTTGGATCCTTTCACTCAGATTGGTAAGGCTTGCCCTTCCTATATTTCAGACCATCTACACTTATTCCAGGTGCTCTGTATGTGACATACTTCCCCAGCTGACTCCATACCTGTAAGCGCTGCACCCCTAATAACTACTCACAGTGCGCTGGGGGAAATTCCAGGTCTCATCATCATGCCCTGGAAGAATGTCCTCTCTCCCCATTAACTGCAGAAGGAATTAAGGGGGACTAACTTTCTTACCTGGCTAGCTATCCTTGGTGTCTGAAGGTTTCTGGGATGAATGCTCCCCTCAGACACCCAACTTTCATCCTCTTACAACATCTAAATTAAATAGTTAAAGTAGCTGGTGTAGACAACCTACCCTGGTGTAGAGAACCTATCCAAAGCAATGCTCAAAGAGGTGCAGTCTTTTCCTCCACATACCTCCTCTGAGGACTTAGGTGAGTAGGTTTTCTCAAGCCATTTAAGCAAATGTGATTTGGGGGCTCCTATCTGTGGACCAGGACTATCCCCAAACACACCACTCCAGGTCCTGATCTTGTACAAACTCACTCCGCTGTTTCCAAATTTGTTGCAAAGGTTTTGATAGCTTTATACAGCAGGACTTAAACCAGATCAGGTGCAATCTAGCTGCACTGCCCTCAGTGCCAACCTCACGCCAGCTGCTCCTCCAGAGCTGGCATGACAGTGCAAAGCCAGCACAAGCTCTCTGTTGTGTGCCTTGGCTCATTTAATGGAAACACAGTCCTGAGCCTACTCTGATATGAAACAAATCTGTCTGTGGTGCACAGATCTGGAGTTACCAGAGAACCACAGCCTTGGAGCAAGAAGAGAGAATCAGTCTCTACAGAAGGTCCCATACCCTCTTTCATTTTTCTTTTAAAATTCAAGCAGGAGAGGTAACAGTTCCCTCTCATCCCTTCCTCCATAAGTGCCTAGCAATCAGAGTACTTGGCCAGGAATCAGGAGAGCCACTTCCACTTGCCCAGGAGGGGATATAACCCCATATATGCCATTAGAGAACTTTACACACTCACTGCATTTTATGGGGAAACGCTATCCTTCCTTCCTCCTGAAAGTGGGCCAACAGGAAGGAAAGAGCTCAAGATTAATGGCGGAGGAACAGAGAGAGGTTCATGTTCACCAAGTTAAGCACACACAACTGGACCCACTTCTTTGCCAAAATTCAAAGAGAAAATTCTGGCTTTGCTAATGTCAACAGCAAAACCTGCCAGGTGTCTGCACTACTAGATTATTTTTCTATTTTCTTGTCTTATAATGTATTTTTTTCCAAAGGCCACTGGTTTATTTGCTCTTTTTGCCTAATTTAGCCCCAAATCTCACACAGAGACCCCGTCACCCAGACCCTTGTTCCCACAGGTATTCCCATTAAATCACAACCTAATTTAGTACATGAACACAGCACTGCAGCACTGTTTTTTTTTTTTTTTTTTGACACACATTTCAGATTTCAAAGAGAAGGGTAAACAAACAATCTATTTGGTCCAATTTGCTGTTTGAGCTGTTCTCTAGTAGTAAAACAGAGACGCGTTTTATAATTAAAAACCTGGAATAATTAAACAACTAGCTGCATATTTTGCAAAGAGAAAAACTGCCTATCGGTTTCCACCAGAGAGGTAGTGGCATTTGTACAATGAATAGTAGGCATTATTCAATATTTTGAATGTCTGTTCTTTTTAACGTGCATTCTGAAACACTCTAAATGTGTGAGTTGTCCTTACTTGCCGAACTCAGTGGTAATATTTGATTGCATAAGTGAAGTCCTTCACCAAGTGAGGATTTACAGTATCGGCACCAACGCACTAACATACAAAGTCCGGATTCGTCCCAGCCTAATCACAGACATTTTAACCAAGGTGCCTGCATTAGGGCCTTCATCTCCCAGTATTTCTGCTAGAATCAGTGGAGGGAGATGGGAACTGCCAGCGGGCACCTTGGCTCTGAGGTGGGCGGGATTGCCTTCAGAGGTCCCCAGCTCTCTTCATTCAGTACAGAGGGAGCCATCAGTAACCAGGTCCCTAATCTAAGTACCTCGGTCAAATGCCTTGTTTGAGGCAGGATGAATTAAGTCTTTAATCACCCATGAAATATCAGACAAAATATCATTTGGGACCTTGAGCTTGCAAACACTTTGCTTTACAAGTAGAGACGTCTCCTAACTTTCATTGGGAACGCTCTTACAAAGAATGTTATTAACTAATGTATTGGTAGCAGAAAGCCCTGAGTGAAGCATGACTGACTTCAGCTGCCTTAAAATTAGGGATCTGCTAGATCAAAGGTATCTGGAAGCCAGTAATTACAGTAAGTCTTAAAGTAGGTGTCAGCTCTCTGGTGCATTTCAGAAGGATTTCACCAGGAGCTTTCAGATCAAGGTTTTGCTAGCTGAGGCTCTTGTGCCATGGTATCAGCCCTGGCACAGAGCCGGGAGAGTCCAAGCTGGACTTAACAAAAAGTACATAATAAAAAAGCAAGAAGAGAAAGTCGGTGAATCTCTGCCTTAGAAAACAGCCTGGAGAAGATATTTTGTTTGGCTGTTTTTTGTCTGACTTGCAAACTATTTCATAGGTGGAAAAGCAAACAAGTTAGTGGAAGTTACCTTCTTCTGGATCAACTTTGCCATAGCGAAACTCGGTTTAATTGACTGTAACTCATTGTGGGGGGAGGGAGGAAGAAGAAAAATCTGTCAGAAAGTCAAATGACAATTGCATCATTAAAAAATGAAAAAAATACCACGTCCTGCAAGATCATTAAGACAGAATGCCCAAGGCTAAATTATATAGCATAACTTCAATAAAACTGTAGGGCTTTGTTTGTTTATTTGTAACTGAAAGAAACTGATGGCAAAGTTAGCTTCTGAACGCTGATTTTTAAAGCTGATGCAGACCCTTCTAAGATGGGAGCTTTCTAGAATGAAGCCTTACAGACTTACACTTTTCACTTCTTGTCTGACCTATGGGTTCATCTTCACTTTAATAAGAAGCGACAGTTCCCAATGAAATCTCAGCACAGCTCCTCTGCACTCCTTTCTCTTGGCTAACTGACCACAAAGCAGTTCTGCTGAGACATTTCCAAAGGCATTTTTAAATCCAACATGATAAAATTTAGTTTTTCATCTAGTTCAGACAAAGAAATAAACTTTCTTTACTTTTTTTACCATGTAGTTCTCTGGGTATGTATGTCTCTAAGGTTATGTACACCATTACGGCCAGAGTCAAAATTGCTACTTAGTATTAAGTTTGTCAAACACTTGCTATAATAATATTTTTTTTTCAATTGCTTATAACTTTGTGAAACTTTGTTAGGGCTGAAATGTTCCACACCAGGTGTCTACCCCAGGCTCACTTATTATTTATTTATTTTACTGTCAGCCAGACTGGTCCCACATTTTTCGAGCACTACAGCTAAGGGAAAATACTCCATTTTGACCCTCTCAAAAACACTAAGAGACCTTTTCACAACTGTCCTAAAGGCTAGGCATTTTGAAAATGGATCTTCACTTTTTGCAAGGAAGGCACCTTTGTTTCTGGGACCTTGTCTGGTGATAGCCTGCCCCACTCTGAAAAGTTAAAAGCCTGAAGAAGAAGAAAAATTAAAAAGCGTGAGTTAGGTAACCGTATTTAGCAATGATTAGCTGTGGTGATTCTAGCCTGGCAGAGCCCAGCTGGTACTCATGGAGCTGCAGGGATACATGTTGTCCATGCCTTGCAGATGACCATGGCCTTGCTTAACATGACAGAGACTGGCCAGGAGTTTCCCTATCATTGCTGCAGCCAGCTTTTCCGGGAGCAACTGGTAGGCTGGACTCTACCTTCTAGTAGAGAACTTTCTTCTAGTTCTCACATACCCTAGGTGGAAACCGAATTAGCATGGAGGAGGAAGCCAAACTGGAGAAGAAAGAAATAGATGAGGACAAGGTGCCTGCTGCAACTACATCCATGAGGCTGGGCCAAATAGATCAGCCAGATGAGGAGCTGGGAATAAGAGCCTGAGGTAAAGGCCAGGGGAAGGGGGGCTGCTGGCAGGAAGGGAGAAGATGCTGAACTTAGAAGCCAGTGAAGGAAATGGGAGGGACTGAGAGTCAGTGGCTGCTTGGAGTTACTAGTGCGAGACAGAGGGGCTCATTGAAGAGGCTGTTGGCTGAACTGGGAGACAAGGACTGAGGGTGAGAAGAAGCAGACCTTACACAGTGCTGACGGCAGGGGTGGTAGGAGAGATGGGAGAAGGTGAGTTGGGAGACAGGAAGGAAGGAGACCAGAGTAAGCCACTGAAGAGATATGGAGTCTGGGCAGAGCGTGAGGAGGGTGCCGGGATCTAGGGCTGAAATGGGCCAAGGCACTCCAAGAAGGGACTGAGCACACTATCCCGGGGCTGTCGGGGAGAAGGAGACAAGACTGAGGAGAGCAGGGGAGAGGTAGACAGGACTAGCTCAGAGATAGCATTGTAAAGGACACTAGGCCTCTTGAAGGGAGCACTTTCCCACCAAAGCCTGGAAAGGTACTAAATATTTGACAGCAAAGATCTGTGGAGCCCCTGGCAAGGGCTGGTAAGAAAAGAGCTCACTGTGCTGCCAAGTGCTGTGGTCCCAGAGCAGCCGAGGACTGTACAAGAGCCAGAAATCCTAGCGATGAAGAGGAGCTACACGGTCACACGTCACTTGAACCCAGGGAGTCCTGCCCCATTCAGTGCTTGGGGCACCCCACTTCGCAGATGAACCAGCCTCGAGTGACAAAGACGGCTGTTCCGTCTTGCTGCAGAGGTGGGAAGGCATGGTGCGAATGACACACAGGATGGACAGGGAAAGTTTGGGCGACCAAGCAGTTCAGCGCTGCTTTGGAGAACTGGATTTTGTTGAGGATGCTATCTAGTCCACCACATTTCTGGCCTTGACAGTACCAAGGCGATGGATGCTTCTACCTGCAACTGAAGTCAAGAACTGAGCTCTCAAAGCAACGCATCCTGAGATCAAGGATCTGCCCACCCCTGGCAGCAGCTAAACCTAAAGAAGCCTGAGCAGTGCCTCTAAGCAGAAGGCCTGTTCACCTGCTGAGCACCGTTCAGCACACGTTCAGAGTGAGGAACCATGCGTTCTTCACGCAACAAAAGGCCACACCGCACAGATGGAAAAGCGGCACGGACACTTTTCCAAATATCGGCAGACCAAAGCATCAGGGATCTTAACTTGGCCATCTCAACAGTGGTCTTTTAGTACAGGGGTCTTTTAGGGGGCAATGGCAGGGGGCATGTGTGTATATATTCAGAAAGGCCACAAAGCATGTTTCTCTGTGTACACTGGCTATCCAGGAATATATCACACGTCTTCATGTAGGCCCTTCTCTCATCGCTATAGCACACCTAACACTTCTGGGTGCATATAGCATTCTGGTTAGGACTAATGTTTCCTTTAAAAGAATTTGGGCTACCAAGAATGTTAAATAACTTAGAAAAAATTCAGCATAAAACTGGATACCCTGGGGGGGGAAGGGGGGGAGAACCAATATAAAGCCGAAGTCCAGCTAACGGGGAAAGTAGGTTGTAAAAATTAATGAGAATAATTGTTGTGAATTCTTGCTTTTGAAAGAACCCTCATGAGGGCAGAACCTTAATTATTTCTGTCTATTAGGGTTCATTTCCTGGTCCTAAGCAGAGAGCTAGTACTTAATAAATACGAGCTAGTAACACAATGATTTAAGCTACAGCAAAATGGTACTTAACTGCAGAGGAAGTTAATATTTGGGAACCAAGCTGATTGCAAGCACCCATTGTGTAAACGGCAAGGAAATGAAATGTGCATGTGACCTATTTTAACACCTCAATATTTCTGGGGTGTTTTTTCAGGGCTGCAAGGGGTGGGGGGTAGGTGGTCAACCAAGCTGCTGACAACTGCACTGAAAACTTTACAAAAACTTTCTTCGTGGCTTAACTCTCCTTTTGCGGAGGAAGGTTGGGGAGGGGGAGATCCCAGAGTGCTTAAATATCTTTTCAGGCTGTCTAAAATATCAGGGGAAATAAGCACAAACTCTATATTGGGATTGCAGCTGTGCTATTGAAATAAATTGACTGATCTGAAATCAGCCAGGTCTTTCTATAAGCTATGTAAGCATAGACTCAAATACAGTTATGGCGAGTCATACAATTAATACTGTAATTCACTTATGACATAGTTCCTGAAACCTGAAGCACATGCACATATGTAGTTGTTTGTGTGTGTATGCACATGTGCATATAAAATATGTAGGTGTATAATAACTGCGTGATTGTGTGGATGGGAGGGTTTGCACGAAAGGTGTTCTACAGGTGATAGGTGGAAGTCAGAGAAAAAAGGTAAATAGGAATACATAGACACAGCCAAAAACACGTGGGAACGGACAGACCGACCGACCTCGGGGAGCTAGATACAGATAGATAGACTTAGATTGGTGTGCCTGCGTTGATTTATGGCAACTGGAAATATATTCTGCATTGCACCATGAAAACATATTTTGCACAAACAACATCTCAGCTGTGAAAGCTGAGCTTGGTTTCTGCCTGTGGAAAAGACCACACTTGCGACTTTACTCAGCTGAGTGATGTTACCCCTTCTCCCCACCCAGGGCCTGGAACAGCATCAGCTGTGCACAGCCTCAGCCTGGTTATTATTCTTCAACTGCACTGGGGCAAGCTACAAATTTTATTCCCTTCCCTGGAGGGAGATGCCATTTAGGGTAGATCATTCCCTGGTTTATTTTTACAGCTCTATCTTTCTCAATTGGGTCTTTATCTTGGGGCTACAGCCACTCTTTATTTGTTCCCCAAACGATCCAGCGCAGCAAGAAGCAGAGCATGTGTATCGGGGGGAGGGATGTGAGTGTATGTGAAATGTGTAGGGGTGTGTGTAAAATATGTAGTGGTGTCTGCATGCATGTGTGTATGTCTGTCGGGATGCGAGCGCGTGTGTGTCTGTAGGGATTCGTGCATTTGTCAGTGTGCATGCTTTGACAGAGACGGATATGCAGATGTCATTTCTTATCAACCAGATGTTGTTGATTTACAATCAAATATTCCTGCTCCTCCTAATATGGCAGTTTTCCCAAACTACTGTACTTACATGGTTTTGCTTTCCTTTGTTTTATTTGCATGATTTCTTTTCTTTACAAAATAGCCCCATTTTTCTTCAAAAGAAAGCAGTTAAATTCAGGTCTGTTTTCTCACAGGGAAATACATTTAAACACAAGCAGTGTGTCCTGTTTTATTAGCTCTCAGTTGTATTAATATTATATTCTTTCTCCAAATCCATCAAGCAGAAGTTAAACTTGATTTTATAGCATCCACAGTGGAGTTATAATTTAAGGCATAATTTGGCAAGGACTCAATTTGGATTCGGTTTGCTTGTCCTGGTCGTGCCAACAGCTCCTATTTTAAAGGGCAGGGAAGTATTTTCTTTTCTCCTCAGATACGGTGAAACACTCTTTCCTCTCCAGCCTACCTCTGCCGTCTGGGTCTCTCTTGCCAACTGATGGACAAGGGAACTGGAACCATTTCATGAAGGTTTAGGAGCTTCCCAGTTACATCTCCAGGAAAGCATCCAGAATTTATCCGGGGTGTTAAATGACCTTTCTTCATTTGAAACTAAGTGCCTGATTTCACTCTTTGAAGCCCAGTGGAGCCATCCTACCTACCCGTAAGTACAAGCAAAAACCCTGATTTCTAAATGATCAGGGAAGGGGTTTATCTGTTTCCAGAGGTCTGAAAATTCACTTCAGGACAATGGGTGGGTGGTGAATGCCATCGCTAAGTGCAGCCCCCCAGGTATCTTCCCTCTCCTCTCTTCCAGCTCCCGCCAGCTCATGGCAGCAACCTGGCGCAGGGACCCTCCGGGATGCGAAGCCAAAGCAGAGCCAGGGAAGGGGACACACGTGGGCTGCGCTGTGAGACGGGGGGCAGCGGCCCCGTGGCATGGACTTTTCGCTGTGGAAAGGGGAGGAGCAGCAGGGAGCTGCTCCCCCTGCCCCAGCAGCACCGCCGGGGGCACGGGAGCCCACGCGTGTCTGCACACCCACCCAGCCTGCGGCACAGCCAGGGACACTCAGAGAAAACTTCACTTTTAGGGGTGTTTTCTTTTTTGTTTTGTTTTGCTTGGGCAGGCTTTGATATGACTTCAGGCGCAGAGCCTCCCTTCCTTCCAGCCTCGAGCTGCCAACCCCGCAGCTCCCAGCCTATTTCCACGCAGATTCGCCTCCAGAACTCGTCAGAAAGGAACCGTTCCCCAAACAAAAGGACTAAGCGGAGCCAGACCGGGTTATCAGGGACCTGACTGTGGAGGGGAGCGCTGGGGCTCCCTTCTCCAACGCCAGATTACAAGCCTTTGACCGATGGGGGGAAAGAAGATAAAGTCAACTTCCTTGGTTGGTCGTCTCATCTCTGAGCAAACCATCCTGTTGAACTCATTCCCCCTTGGCTCGCATTAAGCCCCCGTCTTTAGACGCTTTGTCTGAGTCGCCAGGAATAACAGAGGGGATGGGATAAAACCCGAGAGACAGGGAGGGCATATGGCAAGGGGACACGAGAGGAAAAGAAAGAGAGGAAAAGAGAGGAAAAGAGAGGAAAAGAGAGGAAAAGAGAGGAAAAGAGAGGAAAAGAGAGGAAAAGAGAGGAAAAGAGAGGAAAAGAGAGGAAAAGAGAGGAAAAGAGAGGAAAAGAGAGGAAAAGAGAGGAAAAGAGAGGAAAAGAGAGGAAAAGAGAGGAAAAGAGAGGAAAAGAGAGGAAAAGAGAGGAAAAGAGAGGAAAAGAGAGGAAAAGAGAGGAAAAGAGAGGAAAAGAGAGGAAAAGAGAGGAAAAGAGAGGAAAAGAGAGGAAAAGAGAGGAAAAGAGAGGAAAAGAGAGGAAAAGGGGGGGCCAAGCACCTCAAAAGAAGTTGTACAAGGAGGGAAGGAGAGGAAACATGATTTGTCGGTGCAAAGCCCGGCCCAGCCCCTTACCTTGTGGTTTTGGTAGGAGGTGACGGCGATGAAGGCGGTCTCCGGGAAGACGTGGGTGCAAAAGGCGGTGTTCTTGGACCCGAAGCCGTTGTTCTCGTCTGCTTTCACGATGTGGAGCCGGGGCTGGTATTTGTGCATGGAGTTCAGGATGATCTGGGGGACGGGGAGAAGGAAAGGACACCCCGTGGGAATGGAGGGGGTCACAGCGCGGCGCCCCCGTCCCACATCCCGGCCCGGCGAAGAGGCGCTGGGG